GGGGGTGGGGGTGGGTGTGGGGGGGGGGGGGGGGGGGGGGGGGGGTGGGGGGGGGGGGGGGGGTGGGGGGGGGGTGGGGGTGGGTGTGGGTGTGGGTGTGGGTGTGGGTGTGACTGAGCATCAAGAGATAACTAACACTCACACCCACACCCACACCCACGCCCACACCCACACCCACACCCACACCCACACCCACACCCACACCCACACCCCACACCCACACCCACACCCACACACCCTAACATCATCTTTGAATGAGCCCTGCTCTTCTCTAAATGTATTACAAATCTCTTGTGTGTATGCCATGACTTTGCATTCATTTTTGTGTTATCTTTATCAGCATGCATAAAAGTACGACTATTCACGCTCATACATCATTGAGACAGTAGTGCATTACAGACGTGGAAGAAATACGACGAGAGGACGATCATATCCAGCAAGAGTTCCAGTCTCCATTTTCGACCCGATTGAGTTTATAAAAGAAGATTCTAGTAGCCATAGACGATTCGTTTCAAAATTTATCTAAATGTTTTGACTTATTTTTATTTCAGAAAAGGTAATTGATTTACATAATGATTGTACAGGCCAATGATTACAGCGCTCGGATTCGTGAATTTCCGGAGTTTTCCGACCACATCCCATTTATCTGGGTGAAAATGGCAGAAACATATAAGCAAAGTATTTGGATGGAAGCATATTTTCAGTTGTTTTCTAGGCTCACATATATAAAAAAAAATGTACCGAGTTTTTTCCTGGCGGATGAGGAGTATCGATAAAGCTTATTCTGATTCAAAGTATTAAACTCTATGCAGAGTAATTATGCTCTTAGTCCGGAAAAGAAATATTATATGTTAAAAAGTATGCTTCTAGCTGCATTATACAGGCTTCAAGTCAATCTGCTAACAAAAAAAAATAACCATGGGTCGCAACTCATTGTCGATGGTCAAAAAATAATAAATGGATCAAAAAACGTTTGTCACGATAACTAATCAAATATGTGTAAAGGAATTTCGAGGAATTATCCAGATGGCCATTCTTTTCATAATACTACTAGGTACAGTGTCTAGTAAATAAAGTCTATATACAATGGAAAACAGCTCAGCAGAATTGGAAATACAATTTCTTCCATGCAGGCCAGGCCATTTGCTCAGCTCGTTCTTCGGCAATCAGCTGTTCTGTATCAAGTAAACGTTTTCCACTAACGAGATCTATGGTACTAGGTCGCATAAATGGTGATCTCTTCCAAATTTTCCATACGGCATAGAATATAAGAAGAATTGGAGCGGCAAGATAGGCTTGAAAGAATGCCTTTGCACTAGGAGGAGAACCTTGAGGGAACACAGCTATATAGAATTGAGCGATGAGGCACAAGATGTTGAGAAGAAGTCCGAAGAAACTTCCCCAAATACCAAAAGGTGCCACAAAGGCAAGTTCGTCCAAAGTATGATTTTGCGCCTTCCACGCCAATCGGAACATAATGTGGCATGCGCATATGGAACCCCAAGTGAAAAATGAGGACAAACCCGAGAGAGCGAGTAACCAATTAAATACGTCAGGACCCACTTTGGCACAGTTGATGTAAGCAATGAATCCAAGAAGCATTGACAAGGCAACGGAGGAGAGCGGGCGACCTTTACGATCAATATAAGCGAGTATCTTCGGAGCTTGACCATATTCAGCAAGTGCACATAGCGTTCGAGATGCTCCATAGACAGACGAATTACCTACTGAGAGCACAGCACAAAGAATGACGGCATTAAATATAGACGGTAACACTTTGATGCCTGCATCTTCAATAGCAATCACAAAGGGTGATGCGGACGCATCATAACTTGATGATCCATTGAGAAGACGTGAAGATGTATAAGGCACCAAACAACCGATAAGTGTCAACGACACAATATAGAAAATCGTTATTCTCCAAAATACTTGCTTTGTTGCACGAGGAATGGTCTTTCGAGGATTGGCCGTTTCGGCTGCTGCCAATCCAACCAGTTCCGTGCCCGAAAAGGCAAAAGCAGCAGTGACAAAGACGGCACATACTCCTTTAAATCCGTCGGCAAACGGACCGGGATTATGCCAATATTTTCCACCTAGATACTGATGATTCGGACCACCCCCTGTTGCAAGGACAATGCCGAGAACGATGAATCCGAGAACAGCGATCACTTTAATGATAGACACATAGAATTCGACTTCACCATAACCTCGAACACCGAAGAGATTAATAATGAGAAGCGCCACAAGGAAAATAGTAACCCACACGCCAATATTAACAGACGTTGTCCAATAGTTTATCACGAGTCCAGCGGCTGTTATTTCAAGTGGCATAACAATTAACCAGTTCAGAGCGTAATTCCAGCCCATAGCAAATCCCCAGGCAGGATCGAGAAAACGAGAACCGTATATGGCAAATGAACCAGAGACGGGAAAAGTAACAGCTAGTTCCCCAAGCGCCATACATACGTTGAAAAGCATGAAACCGATGATGGCAAAATCAAGAACAAGTGCAGCTGGACCTCCAGATGCAAGAGCAGAGCCTGAGCCAACAAAGAGACCAGTACCAATCGATCCACCTATAGCAATCATCTGCAAGTGTCGATTTTTTAATTTTCGATGCAAGCCACTTTCTCCCTTTTCAACGTTATCTTTTTGATCTTCTCCTTGTTTTGATCCATTCATTTCTATCCCGACATTGTCAGAAGCTTGTGCACGTTTAAAAGAGTCGATTATCCGATGCCATATACTCGGTTTTTGTTTCGGAAACGAGGTAGTCTTGATCGTAACTTGATAGACACTTTCTGAGGTAGTGCCGTGATTATTAGATGGTGTTTTGGATGACGTAATTGTCATTCTTGCTCGATGTCAGTCCTGTTAAGACACAATAATAATGAATACACATGAGAAAATTTTGATGGAAGTGAATCATTCTGCTGTAGTTAGATGAACTAGCAGCGGTGTAGCCAAGGGAGGGGCAAATGGGCAATTGCCCATTTCATTTCGAGATTTGCCCATTGAAATTTTACTTTTTTCAGAATTGTTTATTTACTTTTGAATCAGATAGTAACTATTTTTTTTTCTTCCGTCTGAATCACACAAGCACTTTTTGCTTGCTCTTTCTGTGAAGAATTAAGAAAAGAAGAAGAAAAGAATCGATTCTGATATTTTAACCAGGACTGCCAGGTTAACAACTTGAAAATCAGAAATTCTTATTTTCAAAGCCAGAAAAAAAGCAGAATCTTTTCTCCGAAAGCAGCAACTAACCAGAAAGAGAAACTCTCTGAAAACCAAAGGCTATCATGTTGACATACACAAAATGCTTCACTTTTTTTGTTTGTCAAATCATACTTTATTTCCAAAAGTATTTCATAGTAAAGAAAAACAACAGAAACATTATATAGTCTAGAGTAAAAGATCATCTACTGTAAGCTAAGGTGATTCATCATAGTCGCATCAAATGAATGGTCTCACTGTCAAATCAACTAGTTACAAATATGAGCTGCCAAGAGCATACACAGACCGAGATATTCGAGTTTCAAGAAATTTACAGTTTTTTATACGCCCACACTACGAAATTTCATCAACACTTGATTTTCTTTTTTCGTCATGGTTGAATGGAACACGATCATTTACATACGAACAAACAACATGACGCATATTAAAAACCAAACTCAACGAAGTCTAAGACAGCATTTTTTTAACTATAAGGGTAATAAACAAAAAATTCTAATTGCTGTCAAATTACTTTTGAATATATGTAGTATTGTTTCTTCTTACGTAAGTAGTCGTGTTCTATCCAACCATGACGAAAAAAAACTAAAGATTGATGAAATTTCGTAGTGTAGGCACATGAAAAACTGTAAATATCTTGAAATTTAAGCATCTCGACCTGTGTACGCTATTGACAGTTCATGTTTTAAACTAGTTGGTCTGTGAGTGAGAGCATTCGTTTAATTCGACTATGAACAATCTCCTTAATTGGCAGTTATTTGGCCTTCAATTGTTAGTCAATACAAAAAAGTAAGCAAAAAACACCTAGTGTCGGAGTCTTTTACGAAGTTCAATACTCTGTTTACGAAATTATGCGCAAACAAATCATATATATACTATGCAGATCAAAAAATCTTACAAAAAATAATAAAGCTTATAGAATATAAATTCCATATTATTTTTCAGGTTTTTCTTTGTTTGAAATTCCTTCCATAAATGTTTTTGAGCTAAAATATGTTTACAAAATCGTTCAAAAAATTATTTAGCATTCATTCTTAAGTTCAGCAACGTCAAAATTCACTGATATGTTAAAGTATTCTTCAATGGTTGCAGAACTCAGAAAGTATCAAAGATTAAGAAAGCAAAGAAGATAGCGCAATACAGATCTATAATATAAATGAGTTTTAGTCATAATTAATTTCGCTAGTGAAGTCACCATCTAAAAACGTTTGGAACCGGCAACAAATCAGTAAAAAGTATCTAAATCAGAAAAAATTGGAAAAATTATCAAATTTCAGAAACTTTCTGATTTTTCAGAAGATTTGGCAACCCTGATTTTAACTATAAGTTTGGATGAACATGAATTCGGTTTTATTGGAAAAACACTAACCATGTAAAGACAGAGAAGAGAAACAAGAGTACAGATCAAAAGAGCACACACGAACATATATATATATATATATACATATAGAGTGACGCATAGAAGGGAAAGGAAAAATTCAATGGCATGTATGTGGAGACATAAAGGTAAAAATCAAGATGTAAAATGATCTAGTTCATAGGGAAAATGTCCATGTGTGTCGCACAGACACATATTGGAAGAATTCTGAACTCTAGCTTATGCATGGTTTTTTTACGTTATTAGTACTTTGTTGGACCAAAAATGTTTTGGCTTATCAATAAAAACCTTGTCCATTTCGCCCATCGGTCTTTTTCTACACAAGAGAAATTTGCCCATTGGTCTAAAGATCCTGATTACGCCGCTGCGAACTAGGAATTATGGTCAACGAAAATAATGTGTTTCAATATTATGATGCTCATCTGTCAACAAGTGAGTCAATTATATGATAAATAGGGCACTTATAAACATTGCAAAAAAAACATCCTCTTTTTCGATCTTGCTCTACATACGATTCTACATGAAGATCATGGGAATCCGAAGGAAAATCGTTTATACACTACTACATTTTATGAAATAGGAAACTATAAAGTCATTCATCAGCAAACTATCTGCATAGAAAATATTTTCTTCTTCAATTTTATTGTTCTATACTTTCCACCTACTTGCTTACCTTTAAATCAATTTTTTCCTTTTATGCATATCATTACGAATCATTAAAATAAAATACACACGCCTATTTACTCCTACCACTTGCCAAAGCTGTATCTTCGTCATGTTGATTACTAATATTCTTTTTTTGGTTCTTCTTTTTCTTGTCATCAATGAAGCAGAACCAAGCTAAAAGGTGCAATATCAAAAAAGAAGTCGAGAAATACGTAGTAAATTACGTTGGCAAGCAGTAGAGTGTACAATTGACGAAGAAATTAGTCATATAGCAGTAGGTTACATTACATGTTGGACATATCTAAACCTTTGATGCTCTCAAAAAAAAAGTGTCATAAGGATCAATCGCCTAATTTTAAATAAATTAAAAATTAACACCTTGGAGCAAACACCAGATACCACAAGTAAAATTATTAATACTTCAAATACTGAACATACAGTGTTGAAAGATGGGATCAATAGTAAAATATCAACAATACCAAATAAAGATGAAAAAATAAGACTTCCACTATCACAAAAATACAACGAAAACTGCCATCACTTTAATGAGTTAAAAGGAATCGGCAGAATGCTTCTTCTTTTGATGTTTGAATAAGAGAATTTTCTTGTCTTAAACAAAAAATGAATAACCAGTTGCATTGGTTCGTTCTAGTACCGAATTTTTATTCATTCAAGTTCATCTTAAATGACAATTCTGTCGGAAGTTTTTTTTGTAAAATAATTTTTTGTTGCGTCTATTTAGGATGATTTGAGCAGCAAGCAGCGATTGTTTTGAAGAGACTTTCTTTAACTTGCAGAAAGTCCTATGACTACAACTATAAACAAGATCATAGAGGTTCGTTACACGCTATCATAATATTAATTTCCACTGCGTATGTGAAATAGGTTTTTATATTATCCGGTCGTAACAATTTTTTGAGGCAGAAAAAGAAGCGTTCGAAACCGAATCAGATTATGCTAGAACCCTACAATGTTCAGTATGAAACCTTTTTTCTATAGAGTGGATTTAACAGAATAGATTAGTCTCTCACATTTTCTCAATATCTCTGATACTTATTATCGTTTTGGAATGAACTTTTCTCCAAAATATTCGGCATGCAATTCTCTGCAGAAAATGAGGGCAAATGAATTATACAGATTAAAATGAACGAGTTGTTTTAGAAGTGCTACGGACACATACTGGGCTGTGGGTGTGGGTGTGGGTGTGGGTGTGGGTGTGGGTGGGTGTGTCGTGTGGGTTGAGTGGTTGTCGGTGTGAATGTTTTGTGCGTTATTCCTCAGCACCAGCGACGCTCTACAAGACAACGGCAATCGAACATTGACCGAAGAAAGCACAAACAGTCATATTAATATATGTGTTCACTGGCAGGAAAATAACTGACACCAACATCCCTCACACAAGCCGAAACTTAAACGCATCCCGACACCGGCAATCAGAACTACATCCTTAATATGATCGAAATTTGTGATTAAGCCGACTAATCTAAATTTTTTCTTGATTATGGGTTTATAGCTCGACGAAAAAGCAGATGGCATTAGTCAAGTGTCCAGGAGAAAAGAAAAGCTATTAAGCTTTCTATGAAACTGTTCCTTATCTAGAATGATGTCTACTTGTGAGGAAAAAGGCACCTGCCGCTTTAGAATAAGACAAAATAGTGTTGTTCTCGGAATTTGCTTCTTGCTGAGCGATCACCGTATATATAAAGTCAAGCAATTACTGTAGGACCATAGAATTAACGGACTTTATTTTATTCGTCTACTACTCTCTCCTTAATTGTCGAACGACAACGAAGAAAAATGAAAAAGATCAGCCAATTAATTTTATTTATCGTGTTGGTGGCTGACTCATGCATAGCACGGACGGTACTGAGTCAAGCTGAGGTCGATGACTTTGTGAATCCTTTAGCCAGCGGACGTAATTTTAATTGCGTAGCTGTTTGTTGTCGTCAACGTGCTCCTAATTGTTTCAATAGTTGTTGTCCTATCGATAGATGTGGTTGTGATTCTACTAATAGTACTGTTCTTTTTGGTTGTGCAGATGCCACTGCTAGTTGTAATTCCCGTTGTTGCTCTTATGGCGATTATCCTGGTCCGTACTACAATTTTTGTAGTTACTGTCTTGCTGGGTAATTGTATGTTGTGTCAATTTATTTCTTCGATGGTAAGCCATTGAAAGAAAATTGCTGATGCTTTATTCATTCTTACATTCTTTCCGACTATCGTTTTTGCATACTTTATGGTACTGAGCTAAGTCACTATTTTTTTCTTTCTAGGAATTAAGGTACAAACTCATATCTTCGTTGAAACTTCAACATGTTCATCATATTATCACAATAATCGGATAGTATTGACTAGCGTTTCCTTTTTGTAATATTTTCATCTTGTTTGCTATCTTCTCTTATATCAT